TAGTCCATATGTTCAGAAACTTAAAGTACTTTAGTGGGGTGAATTATGGGCTGCAACTTTAAGAAGTAAAGGAGCATGGTCAGAGTTAATCCTCGGTAAGTGAATGATTGATGATTTGGAGAGTTGTTATCCCAAATGTGATTCACCATAGCTTTATCCAGTCTTTTCCATATCCGTCTATTTGGTGCCTAGTCATTACACCACGTGAATTTGTGCCCCAAAAATCCTAAATCAAATAAGTCACAATCCAGAATGCAATTGATGAAAGGGAGGGCTTTTTGATGCTTATGAGGAGTACCCCCTTCTTTTTCTTGTGCTTCAGTAATGCAGTTAAAGTCTCATGCAACACACCAATGTAAAGAAGTGCCAGATAATCTGTTTAAGTCATCCCAAAGGGGAGTTCTTAAATTAGATTTAGTCTTGGTATACACAATAGAGAACATAACATCTTCACCATTGTTCATATGCAATGTACATGTAAGAACCTGTTCTTGGTCATCTACAATGGAGCAATTCAGATCATCTTGAGCAAAAATCCAAATTTTACTATTGATGTTGGAGAAAGCTTGAGAGAAACTCAGTGCTCTCTTGTATCTTTGAATCTTATCAATACTACCTCAGGGTTCAAGGATAGCTATGAAAGTGAGATTGTTGCTAAGTTTGAGAAATTTGAGTCTTTCAAAGGCATTCTTAACGCCTCTAATATCCATATGATTGTATTAATCATGAAAATTTTGGGTAGGGGCTGTGAGCTTTAGCTTTGGACCTTGTGAGAGGGTTATTACCACCCCCTCTGTTTTTACCTCTTTTGTATGATCCTTGTCCTCTAGGAGACAAGTTAAGGGTACCTGTAATCTCTTCAAATTCTCTACTAACATCAGGGCCAGAGAGAGCTTGAGGACTGAATCTGTCAATAGTTTGGTCTTCAACATTGTCTTCCTCTGCACTTTCTATTTCAGGTTCTTCTTCTTCACTTGATGTGTTTCCATTGATGCTCTCATATTCATCTTCCCCATACGATGTGATATCATTAATATGATCAGGAGGATCATTTTCTTAGGGAGGTATATCAATTTGAGTAGGCAAAACTTGCAGGTTAGGTTGTACCATCTGAAGCTGATCGTTTGCAAGGGGAGGAGTGAGTTTGTTCTTTGAGGAAATCTCCTGAATATTATCATCCTCTGGTGATTCTGGGCATAGGATGGTGAATCTAAATTGGTATTATTCTTTGTATTAGGAGTGTTTGAATTGGTGTCTTATTCATTTTGTGTTTGCACGGGAGTTTGTTGTGGAGATATAGTATTCCTTTCAATATTGACAGCCTCCTTTTGGTGATTATTGGATTGAGTTGCAGGGGTGTTCTTCATTTGGGGTTTAATGTGGGTATGCTTCTGGGCTGTTTGTTTTGTCTGAGATATAGCTAAATGGGAGATAATATTCTTATCAGTGTTGGTAGTCTCTTCCTGGTGCTTGTTGGATTGTGGTGGAGGTATGTATGTATTGGTTAGTATAAGCTCTAGTTGGATATTACTCTGGTTGTGCTTGTGAGCATCTTGTTCTGCTTGTGAGCTAGTGTTATCAGTGTTGGCATTGTTCTTTTGAGATGTCTTCAAATTTGATTGATGGTCCTGTATATTGGATTTAATGTTGTCCCTGTGATCGGTAGTAGCCTGTTGAGTATTTTGCTTCAACACCTGTTGAGTCTGTTGTTGGTTTTTAGGTTGGCCTTGATTGTGCTCCTTCTGAGGTTATTTATTAACCCTCTCGTATCTTTGGTTAGTTCGTCTTTTGTTTCTTCTCCTGACTTGTTGAAATGGAGCCTCCTCATTGTTATTTTGTTCTTTTGGTTGTTCCACATCTTTGATAATTTCTCTCTTTGCCTTTTTCCAAGTTTGCTTTCCTTTTCCTTTCCTGATCATTCTTTTTTGAATAGCACTCATTCTCAGAGTGTCCTTGAAGGCAGCTATACTGGCATTATTTTGGAACCTGTTCATATTCCACTTTCAACCAAAATCCATCTTCACTAATGTCTTCCAATTTGATGTAGCGCACCCATATTTCATCATCTTTCTGCTTAGATATATCAATCTCAATTTTTTTCTTGGCTACATTACCCCCTAGATTTAGAGTAAGTAGCTTGGTCCGGTGCTAGAGCTTGACCAACAGATGAAAGCATTTTTTTCAAAATGTCTCATTTGTATAGGTGCCATGGTAACTGATGGAGTAATATCCAAACTGGGGCTAATGGGGTTTCAATTTCTGGGACAAAGTCTGGTGTCCAAGGACCTAATTTCATTGTGCATCCAGCTAAATTGATGAATCTTTTGAAATATATGAAATTATAGTCTGTGAGGGTAGTGAAATCTAGGTACACATGTTTAGGATCAAAATATGCAATTTTGATGGTACCTTTCATGGGGAATTGGCTGATAAAACTTCTTCTAATATCTTCCATTGCAGGTTTACCATTCAAGAACCTCCCAACCAGTGTAAGTTTGCAATCCTCTGCTAAATTGACGAAATAGTCTTCGACAGTGAAGAATACAACATGTTTTCCCATACGAGTCCCATGCTTTACTTCAATTGCAGGCTTCGGATTTTCGAGATGATTTACCCCTTTGAGTTTTTCCATGAAGGATGGCTTAGAGTTAGAGATTGCATGTGAATTTTGGGGTTGTTCTGGGTTTTGGGGATGGGGCTGAGAGATGTTGATGAACGAATTATTGGTATGTATATGGTCGTCCCAGTTCGGGGATCATTTTTGTGCTCCATACGTGCTGGTCGGACACCGGCCGGTATGGAAACCAGACGACGCGTGAGTTCGTTGGTTATTATTTGGACGATTGAGAGGAGAGAGGAGAGAGAATTCTAGCCGTTACGAATATTTAGTTGATTTCTTCATATAAATATAGTCAACTTAAACGTTACTGGTTTCCCGGGAATGCATATTCAATGCTCTAGGTTCGCCACTGCTCGCAACATAATTTTTGTTGAATTATTTTTTTCAATGCCTTCTGTACTTCAGCATACACGTTCTTGATTTTATTCTTCGTTAGCTGATATAGATTTAATGTGACAATGATATGTTTGTATAAGTAAAAATTCTAAAGCAGATTATCTTTAGAAATATTTAATCTTCAGGCTTCGGTGTCTTAGATTTTAGGTCTGAACTTGGATGGCCCGTTCTGTTTATATTTTTCTGATAAATCTGGAGAATCACACTGAAATTAGGTGTACTAATTCAGATGGCCATTATCGTGGTTTAAGCTAGTAAGGAGTTATGTTCGTGCATACTGTTAAGTATTAACAGCAAAAGATACGTTGAGCGACGAATACCACTTTAACCATGAGTCAAGGTTAATAGAAGTGAGGTGGAAAAGAAAAGGTTAATAAAAATGCTGCTTATATGTACATACCCGAATTAGAACACTTGTATCTTATTTGAAATTCAAAACAGTTAAACATTTCATGTGGGTTGTGGTTTTTTTTGTTTGGGATGAACCAAGGTTAGCTTTTGATTTTCGATGTGAATTTGGATAGTGAACACTTGGGATAGTAAAAATAAAATTTATAGTTTATATTTGTTGTGAGCGAAGTTTTACTTTAATGCGGAGAAGTTAGTCCGAACACATCCGTATTTAGATTCATACCATCCTATGCATTATTTATTTATTTGGCAATTATTATTCAAGGGTTTTAACGTTTATATACTAGTGTATAATACTGTTTTGCATTGTCAAATCAATTAAAAGATATTTTAGCTACAAGTAATTGTTCATTTAAATAAAATTAGTAACTTAAAAAAATAGAAAAATTAACTTAAACAGATGTCTGTCGCCCAAAAAAATAGTCGATAAATAAAGGCAAGTAATTAGTTACAGCAAGTTAAATTATATTTAAGTGTACAATTTTTTATTTTATCAGTTTTTAAAAATCTTTCTCCATAGCAGTGTTTTAAAAGGCGTTTTCGGGCGAGTCCCGGGGCGGGCATACCAAAAACGCCCTGAGGCGATGGTGTGAGGCGAAAGTCTCAAGAGGAGTACGCCTAGCAATTCGGGGCGTACGCCTAGCAATTCGGGGCGTACGCCTAGCAATTCGGAGCATACGCCCGGGCGTTCGGGGCGTACGCCCCGGTGTTTGAGGCACATTTTTTTAGTGATACGTAAGCCCCGGAGACTTTTTCAAATTAAAACAAAATTTGTTGAATAAGTCCTTCATATAATACCCAAATCCTCAAAAGTCAGCTTGGTAATTAATCAAAAGTTTTAAAAAGGAACTGAAATGTATTAAATTGAAAAGTCAAAACCTTTTTTATTAATTGAAGCCCCTAATTCATAGTCTTTCCCAATTCTTTATCTTGTCCGCTAGTCTGCTAATATCTTCCAAAAGCAACGAATATTCAATTTTTTTTTACAAATACAAAGAGAACTCCATTTTTTTTTCATAGCAGCAAGTTCAAAGTTCAAATTATAGGTTAGTCATCCTTTTTGTCCCCCATGTAGAAAACTTTATTCTTTTCGACTCAAGTTAGTTGTGCTTCTAAGTAGCGTATAATAGGTTGTTTTGACTAGTTTTTTTGTGGGGATGGAGCATATCTATATATATATTTTTCACACATTTATAGTTTTCTTCAATTTTTATTTAATTTTACCTGTTTATAAATATTTACTGTAATTATATTATTTTATAAAATATTAAAAACTAAATACCCGCCCGTGCCTCGGGGCTTTTAAAACACTACTCTATAGGACGTAAGATTACAATATAGGTACTAAAAAAAAGAGGAAAGGGGGCAGGGGCAAGACGAAGTCAAAGTAATTATAACGTTCCAATTAGGAAGGTGATATAAGCTATAGTTTATTTATTATTGAGCCACAGTATCACTAACTTGTTGACTATTCACCCTTTGCCTTCCCTATCAAAGTAGCCGTTGGAAGTCATCCGCGTCAAACACGGGGGTCCTCTTGTTTCCTAATGTGGACCAATTTAACTCTGCTCTCACCTCTCTCTACTACTACTAATGTTAACAAAGAAACAAAGCAAACATGTAAAATAGTAAGAAAACTAGCCGTTGAGGAACCTTATAATAATTTTTCTCTAGACTCCTTATTCTCTCTGCTCATTTTGTCTTCAACCTTAACCGTTGCTCCTTAAGATTCCCTCCATTTTCTCTATCTTCACTTACATCTTCACATGCTTTGTTTCAGTCTCTCATCTCTCTTTCTCTTTCTTCTCCTAGTATTTATCCCTTTCTTTCCCCCTTCTCTTCATTTAATTTTCTTTCTCTTCTCTCAAAACATATCTTGAAAAAGTTCCATTCTTTTTTCTCCTTCTGCTTCTTCTTCTGATTGAAGATTCTGAACCTGTTCTAAGTTTATGGATAGGTGGAATACTTCACTGAGTGGATATTACAACTACCCTTTTCGATTCTTGCATTTTTATTCCATTTTTGTTGTGATTGTGTTTTCTTCCATTTTCCCTATTATATCAGCTGGGAGGAGGTCAGATGGGGTTATTGTAACTCAAGCTGATTTTCAAGCACTTAAGGCCATTAAACATGAACTGATTGATTTTAGAGGAATCTTGACAAGTTGGAATGATAGTGGTTTAGGAGCTTGTGCTGGTGGATGGATAGGTATAAAGTGTGTTAATGGGGAAGTTATAGCTATACAGTTGCCTTGGAAGGGATTAGGTGGCAGAATCTCTGAAAAAATTGGTCAATTACAAGCTCTTAGAAAGCTTAGTATTCATGACAATGTTATTGCTGGTCTTGTTCCAACTTCGTTGAGTTTCCTTCCAAATCTTAGAGGTGTTTATCTTTTCAATAACCGGCTTTCGGGTTCAATCCCACCAACCATTGGCAGATCTCCACTTCTTCAGACTCTTGATCTTAGCAACAATCAGCTCACTGGTACTATCCCTCCTAGTCTTGCAAATTCGACAAGGTTATACAGACTCAACTTGAGCTACAATGCACTTTCAGGTTCAATCCCAGTAAGTTTTACTCAATCCCCTTCTCTTACTTTTCTTGCACTTGAACATAACAATCTTTCTGGCTCTATTCCTGATACTTGGGGTAATGTTGTTGTGAACGATAAGTCTTATCAACTTCAGTATCTTACCCTTGATCACAATCTTTTATATGGGAAAATTCCAGCTTCAATTAGCAAGTTAAGTATGCTTGAGGAGATTAATCTTAGTCATAACCAAATTAATGGGACTATTCCTGATGAATTAGGTGCACTTACAAGGCTTGCTCTTCTTGATTTATCTAATAATTCCATAAATGGAACTATTCCTGTTAGTTTCTCCAATCTTTCAGCTCTTGTTACTTTGAATTTAAAGAGCAATCTTTTGGATAACCAAATCCCAGATGTCATATATAGATTGCAAAATCTTTCAGTGTTGGATTTGAGTAAGAATAAGCTCACTGGCCATATTCCTGCCACCATTGGGAATATTTCTAGGCTCAACTCACTTGATTTATCTGAAAACAATTTCACTGGTGAAATCCCAAACTCTCTTGTTTCTTTGGCAAATTTGACTTCTTTGGATGTCTCTTATAACAATCTTTCTGGGGTTGTCCCATCTCTTCTTTCTAAGAAGTTCAATTCAAGTGCTTTTGTTGGAAATCTAGAGCTATGTGGATATAGTCCCTCAACTCTATGTGCTTCACCACCTCCTCAAACTCTTCCTCCTTCTCCTATTGGTGGGGTTGCCAAGCCTCGCCATCGCAAACTTAGTACTAAGGATATCATTCTCATAGCATCTGGAGCACTTCTAGTTGTTCTACTTCTTTTGTGTTGCATGCTACTTTGCTGCTTGATTAGGAAAAAGGCAAATTCGAAAGCAAAAAATGGTAGTAAAGCCAGTGGCTTAGCTACCACAGGGAGAGGTGCAAAGCCGGTTCCAGCAGCAGCAGCAGGTGCTGAAGTTGAATCAACAGGTGGAAAGCTAGTCCATTTCGATGGACCATTCGTGTTCACAGCGGACGACTTGTTATGTGCCACTGCAGAGATAATGGGAAAGAACACTTATGGAACAGCATATAAGGCTACATTAGAGGATGGTAATCAAGTTGCTGTGAAGAGGCTGCGCGAGAAGATCACAAAAGGGCAAAAAGAGTTTGAAGCTGAAGTTGCTGAATTAGGCAAGATTCGACACCCAAATATTTTGGCTCTTAGAGCCTATTACTTGGGACCTAAAGGAGAGAAGCTTCTTGTCTATGACTACATGCCTAATGGAAGTCTCTCATCCTTCCTCCATGGTAAAGTTTCTACACTAGCTGTTTATTATATTTATTTATTATTAAAGTTCACGTATAACAGTAAAGTGAAGTATCATATTTGTGTTCTATATGCAGCTCGAGGTCCTGAGACAACAATAGACTGGCCTACAAGGATGAGGATTGCTATTGGCATAACAAAAGGCATCTGCTTTTTGCATACCAAAGAAAACATAATACATGGGAATCTTACATCAAGCAACATACTACTTGATGAGCTAAACAACCCAAAGATTGCAGATGTAGGCCTTTCTAGGCTTATGACAAGTGCTGGAAACACCAATGTGATTGCCACTGCAGGCACACTAGGTTATCGTGCACCAGAGCTTTCAAAGATCAAGAATGCAAGTACTAAGACCGATGTCTATAGTGTTGGAGTTATCATTTTGGAGCTCTTAACTGGAAAGTCACCTAGCGAGGCAACAGATGGACTCGATTTGCCACAGTGGGTTGCTTCCATTGTAAAAGAGGAGTGGACTAATGAAGTGTTTGATGTGGAACTTATGAGGGATGCACCTAATATTGGTGATGAATTGCTTAATACTTTGAAACTAGCTTTGCATTGTGTTGATCCAACACCAACTGCTCGGCCTGAAGCTGAGCAAGTACTTCAGAAATTGGAGGAGATTAAACCAGAGCTGATGTTAGCAGCCACCAGTTCTGGAGATGATGGCGCTGCAGTTCAAGAAAAGAGTGAATAAACTCAGTAAGGTTTGATTGCTAGAAGTGTATTGAAAAAGGTTTAGGAGTTTGAGCTTTTTTACTTGATTGATACCTATTTATTTATTCTTTCATTTTTTTTTTTGATCTAGTGGAGTGAGTTGTTGTTTCCTATTAGTTCTATTAGTAAACTGTATATACGAGTTTCTGATTGCTGCATAGATGAAAAACACATTTTGTTCAATTCACTTTATTCTTTGTAATGTAATGAAATAATAGTATCTATCTTTTTGATGAAATAAATGATAGCTGTTGTTGTGATGTGACTATTCATTTCAGAAATTCTTTCATCCAAAGCCAGAACCCAGTTATAATAATATGGTTGAAATTAATGTCAAGATGGTTTAGATAATTACATAATTTACTGAGAAAAGACTATTACATATTTTGCGACATTTACTTACCCTTCCATATCTTTTTTAGGTACTACTATCTTTTAAGGCCCATATTATGTCTTTTAAGGTTTTTGCATATCCCTTAATAAAAAACATATGATCGTCTTAATCATAGGATCAATTAGAACCAACTTCTTGTTTTTCTAATACGTGAAATTAATGAAAGGAACTGTACAAAATGACAGTAAATGGGAAAGAAAAAAAGAAGAAGAGAGAACTAACACATCTCTACAAAGTATTATTCCATTAGTCAGAACAGAGAAAAACATATGTCTTTTAGGACAATTACATAATTGCTGAGAAAAGACTATTACATATTCCATTAGTCAGAACAGAGAAACATCTCCATTTCAAACTGGCTAATTCCAAGTAAACCCAGCTTTCATTTTAAGTGCTTCATTGGCCAAGGAATTTGCATATTTTGTTGGCTTCTCGAAAATCATGTTTATTTAGCTCTAAAAGATGATCTGAAATGTTTTACCTTATTAAAAAAAAAGAAGAAGATGATCTTCAATGTTTTGACCATAGCGATTAGACAATTATCTCTTTTAGGATACACTAATTAAGCTTAGTGGTTTCGGCCGGTATTTACAACATCGAAATGCTTTGCTACTTGAGCCAAGTGAAAGGCTGAGTCCTTTCATACAAAGAAAAATATCTTTTGTACCAAACATACTTCTTTCATTGGATGACATTATTTGATTGATTACGCGAGTTCAGAAAGTAAAGATAAACTAAGGGGATGTTTTAAATTTTAAAACTATTTTAAATGAACTATCAAAAAATAATCTCTTTTAATGAAAAGATTTTCCAAGAAAATATTTTTAATGTTTTGTTGATAAAAGAAGTACAACTTATTTTTTGTTTGTTATACCAAACACAACCTGTCATTATTAGTTAACACTAGTGAATTCATTCGCACTTCGCACAGTTATTAAAGATGTCATATTATGTAAATTTAATAAGTGAATTTTGTTTTATTTTTCATGTAAATGCACCCAAAGTTTAATTTTTAAGTAGATTAAATCACAGAAAAAATATTATTAGAAATATGAGTTCACACTAAGGGTTGGTTATCATGTAATTGTTATAATTAGGGGTGTACAAACTGAACCCAAAAATCGTACCAAACCAAAAAGTCAAATCAAACCGATTAAAAAACCCGATTAGGTTTAGTTTGGTTTGGATTGGTATTAAGTAAAAAAAAATCCGAACCAAACCGACATATAAATATATAATTTTTATATATACTTTTAAGACTTTTTATAGAATTTTCTTTAAAAAATATCAAGAAATATTTGTGATTCTCTTATGAGATGTAATATTCAATTAAATATGAACTGCTCCATATTTATTAACTTTAAATAATGGGTTATATGATCACTTTCTTATCAAGTGTTAGTGAAATGTGTTAATCTCTTTGTTCTTCCATATTCATATGTCAAAATCTATTAAATTCTTATATCTTTTTTGAATTTGAAATGGTATTTTGATAACTTAAAATTAAATAAAACATATCATTATATAGGTTCATATTTATTTTTAATTATTAAATTCGGTTAACCTTGAAAGTGTACATCAACGTAAAATTATTGTCAGATGAGTAAAAAATACCTATCATGTGTTACTAAGAAAATTCTTCCATAATAATATTTTAATAGATCATATATTTTGTTATTTTTTTTAATTTTTACTAAACATATATTTACTTATAAAAAATTTAACAAAGTAAGATTGAAATAATATTCATATAACAAAAAAATCCGAAAAACTCGACAAAACGAACCAATCCAATTCGATATAGTTGGTTTGGTTTGGTTTTTATCAAAACCAAACCAACACGGTCCATGTACACCCCTGGTTATCATTCACAAACCATTACCGAATTAACTTGATATTATTTTATATCACATGGATAGAGGACAACATCACAATATGATGCAAGACCCCCCAAAAAAATTACAAGTGATGAAAGAACAGTCAAATTAAAATTATAATAGCAAAAAAAAAAAAATTGTATTAGCAGAAGAGTTCTATTGATTAGAATCTAAACCATTTGATTTAGTCTCTTATAACCAAAGATCAGTCTAGTCTTGTTCAAACTTTACCTCCGTAAATAAGCGCACAAATGGTCCGCAAAAACATTGAATTATCATGTTAAGCATATAACATAGAATACAACCACATATATGATTATGAAATCACCAATTTGACCTACATTTGGAGAAACAAATTGATCAAGGAAAACAAAATTACCTGGCCAAATTGAGGTAAGCTATCACTGTGGAGATTGTAAGTAAAGGTTCTGAACCTAATAGTACAAAAATATTGGGAGATTAAGCTCTTAAAAACAAAAGTCACAAAGAATAAAACATACATCATACCAAATTATAGCATTGATACTCTAATAAGTACAGTTTCAGAGTTACCATCATCAATGTGATAGAGATATTTTTCAAAGAACATAAAATATAGTAAAAATTATATGATCTCATATTTTGGAAGGTTTTCCATTTTGAAATATCGATGGACTACCAATTTAACAATTCGCTAAAAAACAAAAGATGAGTAGATGACAAAAAAATACACACGTATAATTTGATATGAAGGAGTATCATCTATCACAAATATATGCACTCCAATAAAAGATGCAGCTCTTGTTAATAGTAATAATCTAAAAAAAATTAATAATACTTCATCTCTCCCCACTTAATTTGGGTTGTCCAAAATTTTCTCCACTTCTCTCTACATAGTTCCTCAACTCTCTAAATGTTTGAAAGAGTAATGTCTGATTTTTGGCCTTGTACATACTTACACCCAGTGGCGTAGTGTTAGGACCCGATTCTTTGTCAATCGGATGTGGCACGGCTGTGGCAAGGATTGGGGCGTGATGGCCTTGCTGTTAGCCTATGCGGGAGCAAAACGATCATGCGGGACAATGGACGAGAAACATTGTCATGAGAACAAGTATTGGTCAAGGTCTTGGGACAGGCAAGATAAGTTTGGCAAAGGCTTGATGAGGCAGTGCGGACAAGTTTGGGCGGCATGAAGCGGCATGCGCGCCAAAGACAAAGGTACGGGCAGTTCGGATTGTGGGAGCGCCAAGTACAAGCTAAGCTAAATTGCGGAAGCACGGAATGATGGCAAAGGATTTCAATAGCCAAGGCAAAGCTATGTGAGACAAAATACAAGCAATGGCATGGGTGAAACAAGTGTTGACAAATACAAGGCAGAAATGCGGCTAAGGCAATGTGCGGGCGACAAAGAGTGTCGGGCGTGTGCGGCAAAATCATGGGCAGCAGGTTGCGGACAAAGACATTGGCGCGGAGCAATGTCAAAATCAGCCAAGGCTGGGCGCAATGCCAGCCTTGGGCGTGTAATAGCTGACCAACAAAAGGGGCACATGCAGTGCACTTGCCAAAGTAGTGGGCCGTTGTATTTTTGTAATGACTTGTATCTATGGTCTGTTTAATGCTTGTATGTAATATCATTTCATGTGAAAAAATAGCCTAAGTAGTTGGGAATGTCAACTACAAGTTAGGGTAAATTTAGCAAAGCTGTGTACAAGGCAGGTTTCAGTGGAAGGTGGGACCAGTATTCCACCAAAGAAGTGAGTGCTCTACAAAACAGGGCCAAGTGCTCCACAATGCATGCTGATGAAGGCCATTTCGTGGATAATGCCCCATTAAGTGGTCAAAGTGCTGATTTAGTGCTTGAAGTGGAACAAACACTAGAATAGATTGCCCCTTTGTAATATTGTCCCTTCAGATCTGCCAGTGGCAACACCTATACTTATAAATAGGTGGGAATTTCGTGTGGAATTCAAGAGAGAAGAAGTAGAAGAGGGTCTTCAAAAGAAGAAGAGTGTCTTCGAAAGAAAGTTCTGTTGTGAGACTTCCAAGTGGGAAACAAGAGAGAAACGTGAGGGTTTCTAAGTGTTTCAAATGGGGGCTAAGGCTGGGCATTGGGCAGGTCTTAGTGTGCAAGATTGACTTGTGATCTTTGCTAGACGAAGTGGACTGTGAACAAATTGTGTTAATAGTAAAGTGGGAAACAAGAAAGAAACATGAGGGTTTCTGAGTGTTTCAGAAGTGGGCTAAGGCTAGGCGTTTGGGCAGGTCTTAGTGTGACAAGATCGACTTGTGATCTTGGCTGGTCGAAGTGGGCTATGAACGACTTGTGTTCATAGCAAAGTGAGGGGTCCTTTGTATATTTTCATATTAATACAAAGGTTGGGGTTTTTCCGTACTTGATTGTGTTCTCTTTATGTTGCTGCTAAATTTTGCTTAAGGCCGAACTTGCTGAAAAGTTGGCTAAGTGTTGGAAAAGGCTGAGAAACTTGAGTGTCAGGTTGCTGCCGTGCAGTGTCAATTAGGCGCGAAAAATTGGCCCAAATTGACCCCGCGACACGTAGCTACCTTGGATTTTTGCCCTTGTACATACTTATACCCAGTGGCGTAGCTATCTTGCCGTAAGGGTGGTCAAGCAAACATTCTTCGCAGTACACAAATGTCACGATTCAAAATCCACTAGAGTCGTAATGGTGGCTTGTTAGGCAAGCCAACAATAAAATATGCCGAAATAGACTTCAACAACAGTACAAATAGTATCAATAGTGGAATAGTATAAATAACTGAAGTCAAATAACGATACAACTGAAACCATCCCAAAATCTGGTGTCATCGAGTGCATGAGCTCTATAGATAAGACATAACGGGCCTAACCTCGGGCCATGCTGCAATAATAGGCTGAGCTATACTAGCTAGTAGAACTCCTGGAGTTTGAAATC